CTAATAAATAACTGTATTTCTTTTAAAACTTGGCTCGAGGCTCATGAGTTAATTAGGGAGTTTGTGGCAGCTCTGACAGCTAGCCTATGAGGAGAACTTGCATGTCAGAGATGACATGCCATGTCATTTTTGGTGACATGCTAGGCCTCCAGTCCTTTTGGACAGAAGGGACAAGCGGCACAAGAAGGCCCTGCTCTTACATGGCATCTGGAAACTCCAAAATTTGTGTGGGAATGGGGCAGTGCTTTCCTGCTCTTTTCAGAGGCTGCAAGACCAAGCAAGAGCATTTTTCAAATTTTCTAGGTTTTCTGCAACCTGCATCTTTCTTCGAAAGACATTTCAAAAACATATTTACAATTATGTAAATATCAATTCATTAAATAATAAATTGAATACTTGAATGTATTACTCTTTGCTATGAATTGTTTCTCTTTTTGCCCGAGATGGGCGGTAACATGCTTGCAGAGGTAGGCATTATCTGAATTTTTGGCACGTAAACCCAACATCGTTGGCTTAAGACATTTTGGGGTTTGAGACAAGGTAAAGGTTTCCCCCTGTCCAGTCTGACTCTAGAGGGAGGTGCTCATTTGGTGGGGGGGGGGCAGAGAACCAGTGTAGTCTGAAGTCCCTTTCTGTGGTCAGGTGGCCAGCATGACTATATACCAAAAGTTAAAGGAACACTGTTAACTTCCCACCAAAGTGGTACCTATTTATCTACTTGCATTTGCATGCTTTTGAACTGCTAGATGGGCAGGAGCTGAGGCAGGAATGGGAGCTCACACCATCCTGTGGTCTCGAACCCAGACTGTCAGCTTTCCAGCTGACAAGCTCAGTGTCTTTAACTGCTGAGCCATTGCGCCCCCCTTCTTGAGACACGGATAGAACCCCAATCCCAGTTGCTGCATGGATGTTAACAGACTGCGTGCTAAAATATCCAGCAGGCCTGTTCTTCCATTCTACTACACTCAGCAATTCCTGTGCTTCAGCTTTTTCTCTCTTAAGTCCAGGCATTTATAAGAGACATCCTTTCTATCTCCACACCAGTCTCTTATTTTCCCCCTTTCCTCCTCCCACACCAGATGCCTCTGGTTAGACCCAGAACCCTGTAATGGTCACGTCAAATGGGATTTGCAATTTTCTTTTCAATTGGGAAGCTTCAGAATTCTCCCTTCGGGGTTGCAGTTTTCCACTTCATTTGCAAGTTTTAAGCTCCGTCAATTGCCCCTTCTAGCACAGCTGAAGAAAATGCATTTCTCTCTCCCCCCCCGCACATTTTAGGGAGCTTCCATCTAGCTAGGCTTCAAAGAAAAAAGAGCAAATGATGCAGCAGGAAAGGGTTTTAATATTAAGGAGATACTCCAGCATCTCGTCTTCGATCCCTTGGGACAGATCACGCCCTCTTAGCAAAGCTAGAAATTCCAAAACTGGCCTTTTGGAGAAAAAAAATGTCAGCAATGGCAGAGTTGAAGAGTTAATGTGCAATTTCCCTCCCTCATCTATTTGCTTTCTCCTCCCCACTTTCCTGAGTAGTTAATTGTGTACCATATAGGAGAGTGATGTCAAACCTTTTTTTCCTCGGGTGCTGAAAGTGTGCGTGCAAAATAGCACACTTGTGCATGCTCACACCCATAATTCAATGCCCCCCATGTGCCCCGCCCCCCTACACATGCGTGCGTGACCCCCCCCCCCCCCTGCACTCTGTTTTGGGCCTAGCAGGCCTCCCTGAAGCCTCCGGAGGCTGGTAACGGCCTGTTTCCCGACTTCCGGTGGGCCTGGCAGGCCTGTTTTTCACCCTCCCCAGGCTCCAGAGCCTTTCCTGGAGCCTGAGAAGGGAGAAAACAGCTTCCCGCCCCCGAGGCACTTCGGAGGCTGAAAACGCCCTCCCAGAGCCTCTGTGCAAACCTTGTACTTACCTGGCGTCCAAAACGGGCTGTGTGGAGACTCCTGGGATGGGAGGGGCAGCATGGGCAGGGCCAGCCAAAAATCAACTGGCTGGCAAGTGCATGCGTGCTGGAACTGAGCTAGGGCAACAGCTTGCATGCCTGCAGATATAGCTCCGTGTGCCACCTGTGGCACGTGTGCCATAGGTTCACCATCACGGATATAGGAGGATTTCCTGCAATGCAAAATGTTAACATTTTCTAAATGTTAGCATTTTCTAATTTTGTCGGAACCCCTGTGAAAAGAGATACAACGGTCCTCTTTTTGTCTCCTCTAATCTTCATGATTATTTTTCTTCCTCCCCAGAGGCTGCCTTTTTGTATTGGGGAGGGGAAAAAAAATGAACAGATTCATGCTGCCCATTTTTTAATGACATGGCATGTGGTGCCAATGACTCATGGAGGGAAATTTCTCCTGTGTTAAACATCCTTCTGTCCGTTGGCTTCAAACGACTTGCGGATGCCAGGGAGACCAGCGTGGCAATACAAAACAAACCAACTTGCACACGAATTGTATAATGAAACATAGAGCTCTTCCATTCTGTGTGCATTGTGATGTTTGAAGGGGGAACAAGGGGCAAATGTGTGCAGCCATGAAACTTTGAATCCAGACACTGTTTTTGGTTTTGGTTAAAGGCGCTGAGCTTGTGTGGGAATTCATTGTTGGAATGTATTTTTATGCAACAACTACAGTAGTATTCAGCCAGTAGATGGCAGTGTTTACAAGTGTGGATCTATGGTATATACTCTATGCTGTTTTGTTTTAAGTAGAGTTTCCTGTTTCCTGCTACAGTTAATACAGTTGAGCAGTAAAGCACATGGTGACTGTACTGTTTGTTTGCTCTGTGGTGCTATATATAAACAGAATTTCTAATAGCTTGTCAGCTGGAAAGCTGACAGTCTGGGTTTGAGACCCACTTGATGGTGTGAGCTCCCGTTCCTGCCATACCTCCTGCCCACCTAACAGTTTGAAAGCAAGCAAATGCGAGCAGATAAATAGGTACCACTTCAGTGACAAGGTAACAGCATTTCATGCTCTTCGGCATACAGTCACGTTGGCCACATGCCCACAGAAGTGCCTTCGGACAATACTGGCTCCCTTGGCTAAGAAACTGAGATGAGCATCACCTCCTAGAATCGGACACCAATGGACAGGGGAAACCTTCCCCTTTTCAGTTGTCAGCACACAATGGAGGATGGAAACCAAAATTGTTTAAAAAACATGTAAAATTGGTAAGATAAGAATGAATGAGCTTGCTCTAAGCATGCTTTAATAATCTGCAATTCTGAAGACAGCCACTGATGCGTATGTTGGATATTCTCTGAGAATTCACTATGATGTGGACTTAAATCACAAGCATACATAGGCGCCCACAATCCCAAAGCCCTCTTCTTAAATTTTACAGAAAAGCTTTTTGTGTAACTCATGCCTTCTCTTTTCCACCCAGCCGATGGCTTTTGGCTTTTGATGAGTAGACCAATGAGAAATAATCACCACGGGGAAATTACATATGAGGCAGGAATGTATGGTGTGTGTTGGTAATGGAGCACAATTTTTCAAAATGAAAAGTAGTCTCAGGAGACAGCGGGGAGAGCAAGCAAGCTACAGGAAAGGAGGTGATGCTTGTCCCTTTCCCCCCCAAGGGCTGTTTTAATTCTCAAAATCTGCCCCGCCACCCCACAGATATATCCCAAACCTCTTTTGGAATAGTGGTATCGTTTTGTTTGGGAAAACACACGCAAGTGTAAAAATGATGCTTCTCCTCTGATCTGGATGGCAAGTGTCTATTCTAGCGGTGGCCCTCCAGATGTTGCTATACTTCATCTCTCATCATCCAGCTGTGAGGGACAATGAGAGATGTAAGCCCACAGTATTGGGAAGGCCACCAGTTCCAACCCAGCCATGATAAGTTCAGCAGTGGGTTTCGCATATTTTTACCACTGGTTCGCCACGCATATGCACGCTTGCTTCATATACACGTGTGCCTTCCACACATGTGCTTTGCTTGTGTGTGCGCCTTCCGCACATGCGCCCGGCCATGAAAATGTGGTTAAATAGAACGGCATTACGCCGGGGCGGGTGGCCACCTGCAGTCGCCGCTACCAGTTCACTTGAACCGATATGAACCGGCTGAATACCACCTCTGGATAAGCTGTTCTGACCTGCAGCATTTTTTTAAAAAATCCCACCTTTATTACTGTTTATAAGTAACTCAAGGCAGCAAACAGAAGGCAATAACATTCCTTCTTCCTCCTCTTCCCCCCCCTCAACAATCCTGTGAGGTGGGTTGGGCTGAGAGAGAGAGAGAGAGAGAGAGAGAGAGAGAGAGAGAGAGAGAGAGTGACTGCTCAAAGCTGCCCAGATAATTTTCATTCCTGAGGTGGCTGCCCAATCTCTTCTTAAAAACTTCCAGTGTTGAAGCGCCCACAACTTCTGAAGGCAAGTCGTTCTACTCACTGTCTCCTGCTGATTGGCCCAAAGTCAGAGAGTTGGCTTTCATGTGTAATGCGGGACTAGAACTCACAATCTCCTGGTGACTGGGTCAAACACATTGTAAGCCTCCCTGAGTCTCTGGAGAAGGGCGGCATATAAATCAAATTAAAAAAAAAAAAGTCACTCAGGTGGTTTTCATGCCTATGGCAGAACTAGAACTCCCTGTCTCCTGGTGATTGGCCCAAAGTCACCCAGCTGGTTTTCATGGCTAAAGTGGGGCTAGAACTCTCTGTCTCCTGGTGATTGGCCCAAAGTCACCCAGCTGGCTTTCATGGCTAAAGTGGGGCTAGAACTCCCTGTCTCCTGGTGATTGGCCCAAAGTCACCCAGCTGGTTTTCATGGCTAAAGTGGGGCTAGAACTCTCTGTCTCCTGGTAATTGGCCCAAAGTCACCCAGCTGGCTTTCATGCCGAAGGTGGGACTAGAAGTGACGATCTCCCGATTTCTAACCTACTGCCTGAACCACCAGACCAAACTCTTATAGCATTTGCTATAGACATGACATAGTCCTCACTCTGTTCCATTCTTACCTGTTCCTCCTTCCTTTCCATTCTCTCTCCTCTTTAGGTTAACACAGCCATGCATGAAGCCAAACTGATGGAGGAATGCGATAAGTTAGTGGACATCATCCGCCAGCGTAAGCAAGTGATCGCTGTCAAGATCAAAGAGACGAAGGTAGGACAGCGATGCTGTTAGGAGACGGGTGGGTTGGAGTGGTTAATGGAAGCTGCTGATTGAGTGGGAAGCCCACTTTATTGCTATTTTTGAGTGTTCTCTTTAGGCCAGCTGTTCTGTTGTGGTGGTAGAACCTCAGTGCCCTGTGTGGCTGGCAAACCAGCTCTCTTTATGAGTTTATAGACTACTTTCCAGAAGATCAACTCTTCTGTTGTCCAATTGTTTGGTTTCAAAATGCAGTGCAACAATAATAGCAACAGCACTTAGATTTATATACCCCTTCACGGTGCTTTACTGCCCTCTCTAAGCGGTTTACAAAGTCAGCTTACTGCTCCCAACAATCTGGGTCCTCATTTTATCGACCTCGGAAGGATGGAAGGCTGCGTCAACCTTGAGCTGGTCAGGATCGAACTGCTGGCAGTGGGTGCAATTATCCTGCAATACTGCATTCTAACCACTGGGAGGGAAGGAAGGAAGGAAGGAAGGAAAGGAAGGAAAGGAAGGAAGGAAGGAAGGAAGGAAGGAAGGAAGGAAGGAAGGAAGGAAGGAAGGAAGGGCAATAGCACTTAGACTTATATATTGCTTCACAGTGCTTTACAGTCGTCTCTAAGCAGTTTACAGAGTCAGCATCTTTCTCCCAACAATCTGGGTCCTCATTTTACTGACCTCGGAAGGATGAAAGACTGAATCAACCTTGAGCCGGTGAGAATCGGAACTACTGCTGGCAGTCAGCAGAATTAGCTTGCAATAGTGCATTCTAACCACTGTGCCATCACAGCTCTTAATCCTTAATAAGTATCATGGTTATGGTCAGATTCCCCAAACCGGCCACCACAGAAATATATTCCCTAAACAAATACACCGCAATCAACTTAATATTCCTGAACAGTTCATAAACTACCAACTTAAGAACTTAGCCATCCGAGAAAACTTAGCTCCTTCAGTAACCAAGTGTACCGAGTCAGTTTTTGAATGGAAAAAAAATATATGTTTCTTACGTAGGTGTTACAAATCTCTCTGCCTTGTGAATCACCCATAATCTCTAGAGGCAAGTCGGTCCACAAATGAACTGCTCTAACTGTCAGGAAATTTCAACCTTAATTCTAAGTTGCTTCTCGCCTTGATTAGTTTCCACCTGTTGCTTTCTCCAGAAAGGATAAGGCGAAATGCTTCCTTGAGGACTTCCTCCTTGCAGGGTTTGACCAAAGCAGCATTTTTGAGGTGTTGTGGGTGTGGGTGTGTGTGATTTAAAATCTGCTTCACATTTTACCATGCTCCTCTCACTAGGCATTGGTAGCTCCTTCTCCTTCTGACTCTTCCTCCCCCACACACACACTTTTCTGTCTCCGGATCATCTTCTTGATGAGTTTGGGCATAAATGAACCATCCATCAACCCATTAAATCTCAGCAGGAGAGTCATTTCCTTGTGCAAACAGCTGTTTGAAGCCTGGTCTGCCTGCTGCTTGCTGGAAATGAGCACCTTTCTTTTACATAGCGTTGGCTGTGACATTTTCCGGTAATGAAGAAGGAAGGAGAGCAGAGCAAGATTGGCAGGAATAGGAGGGTTACCTGCAGATTTTGGCAGGGTAGGAGAAAGGAGGCTGCTAATTGTTCTGCACAGCTGCATTGTACTCAACATCCTGCTGGAGAAAACCCAGAAGATATCCAAGATATCCATTTCTTAGGAGAGCAAAGCCTCTGCTGTGCAGGAAGAGTCAACTCGTCCAAGAATACAAGTGTTATTCTTGGACCAGGTTGGACTGCTTGTCCATGAATTCCAGGGGACCCCAATCTCTTTGTTCTAGTGCAGTGGTGGGTTTCTACTGGTTCACCCCGGTTTGGGCAAACCGGTAGTGGTGGTGGCGGGAGGCTCTGCCCACCCACCCGGATGTCATCACGGATGACAGAGCAGGGGGTTGGACTAGAAGACCTCCAAGGTCCCTTCCAACTCTGTTATTCTCTATTCTGTTTTACATCTTTTTTTCCTTGGCTAAAAACTGAAACAGGATGGTGTAAGATATCATATTACCATCATATCCAGTGCTGCTTCCTTTGAATGTTTGCCGTTTTATCTTTGATAACATTCCCTGTGTTTTATTTCTCCTCTCATTAATGGTATTGTGACAATATAGCTGACGGCTTTTTAAAAATTTATGCTGTTTGTGCCTTCCCAGGCATATCCTTTTTCTGGGGATGCTTTCTTTCCTATATCGGCTCTCGCTGATTTTCTCAGTGACAGTTCCTTGCATGTAAGCAAGAGACCTCTTTATGCTGAAGGGAACTTTAAGGTGGGATTAGGTGAGAGTGTCGTGTAGGAAAGAAAACAGGCATTGGAGCTGGAGAGAGAGAAAGAGAAAGGAGAGAGAGAAAGGAGAGAGAAGAGACAGAGAGAGTCAGAGAGAGAGGAGAGAGAGAGAGGAGAGAGAGAAGAGAAAGAGAGGAGAGAGAAAAGAGAAAGAGAGACAGAGAGAGGAGAGAGAGAAAAAGAGAGAGAGAGGAGAGAAGAGAAAGAGAGACAGAGAGAGAGGAGAGAGAGAGAAAAAGAGAGAGAGGAGAGAGAGAGGAGAGAAGAGAAAGAGAGGAGAGAGAGAAGAGAGAGACACAGAGAGAGGAGAGAGAGAGAAAGGAGAGAGAGAAAGGAGAGAGGAGAGACAGAGAGAGACAGAGAGAGAGGAGAGAGAGAGAGGAGAGAGAGAGAAAAAGCGAGGAGAGAGAAGAGAGAGAGGAGAGAGAGAGGAGAGAGAGAAGAAAAAGAGAGGAGAGAGGAGAGAGAAGAGAGAGAGGAGAGAGAGAAGAGAAAGAGAGGAGAGAGAGAGGAGAGAGAGAAGAGAGAGAGACAGAGAGAGAGGAAAGAGAGAGAGAGGAGAGAGAAGAGAAAGAGAGGAGAGAAGAGAGAGAGGAGAGAGAGAGAAAAGAGAGAGAGAGGAGAGAGAGAGAAAAAAGAGAGATAAGAAAGAGACAGAGACAGAGAGAAAAGAGAGAGAGGAGAGAGAGAGAGGAGAGAGGAGTGTGAATTCTTGCCAACAAAGGGGAATGTTTGTAGCTCAGGGTTGAAATGAGAAGTCCTTGGTACCTCTCTGAGCTTGGTGGTTTTCTTGCAGATGTTTCATTCATGCTAGCACTGATGATGTTACCTAGTGGGATAATGAAACATCTGCCAAAAAAAAAACAAAACCATCAAGCTCAGAGAGTACCAAGGACCCCTCATTTCAACCCTGAGCTACAAATATTCTCCTTTATTGGTATCACAAATGGGCATCAAACACTTCAGAAAACACACACTAGCCCTGATAATGTCATCATCGTATTTTCATCCAATATTTGGCTGCCAGCGGACATGTCCACCATTGGTGGAAGTAGGTTCCATTGCTATGCCCACATTTCCAGCACTGTGGAGATGTCCTGGGGAAAATTTTAGCTAATCTAAATCTAAATATTGGATTGACTAAATGGTATCTGATACTGCACATAATCACTGCAGGGAGACTGGCATTCGCACAAGAATGGAAGAATGAGGACTTACCAACGGACTCAAAAATAATTTATAAAATCATGGAATGTGCGGGGTCTGACAGACTTACAAAACTGATCAAGGGTAAAAGAGACTCAGATTTTTATAGTAGTTGGAACATGTGGTATGATTGGATCCAGAAACGATGGGAGAGAGACAAAGGATAATGCTGGATTATAATTATAGATGATGGTATAATTATGGTAATCAATAAGTATTGGAAATGTAAATTTGTATATAAGAATCTGTAAATATTTTCTATTTTTACTTTCTGATTATTGGTGTATATATACATGGATATTTTGGTGATGTTACACTGTGATAGAAAAACTATTATACAAAAAAAAGAAAAAAAATACAAATAATTTTTCTGCGGACCACCAAAATTTTCTTGCGGACCACCAGTGGTCCACGGACCACCAGTTGGTGACCGCTGCCCTAGATGGGTCATAAAACATCTGCAAGAAAACAACCCAGCTCAGAGAGCACCAAGGACTCCTTGCTTTGTAAACCAGTGTTTCCTTGCAGACATAGTATTGCCTTTCATCTAGGATTCCTGAATGCAAGAGTATAAAAGAACAAAACCAAGCCAACACACACACACACACACACAAGTTTGAGCAGAGCAAAGGTAAAAGTTCCAGGGGGAGTAGGAACGGAGTTGAGGTTGCCATCGGGGCAAGGGTTAATCGTGCCTTCTTTGAGGGAAGTGACAGGCACCCACAGAGAGATGCTGGCACATTTCAGCCGTGGGCATGGGTCTCTCCTACTTTCCCATCACTTGTCAGAGTGGGGCTCAGACTGACAACCGGCTCTTGGCAGCTACTTCAGCTCTGATTTAGAAGCTGACAAGGAAGTGTTTGGAGAGCTGCTGTCATGTTTTCCCGCTTCCTTGCAAAGCATAGAAATAATCCTTCCTTTGGGAAGGCATCGAGTTGAGCTGTGTATGCAGCAGTGGTGGGTTCCTCCCGGTTTGGCCCAGTTCCACCGAGCCAGTAGCGGTGACGATATGACATCACTGAACCGGTTCTGCCCCCCGTCCCTCCCCACCCCTCCCTGCCCCCCCCACCACCGCCACTTTATTCTTACCTTTTATTTGGCCCCACCCCCAATCTATTGCTGCCTCCTGATTCCCAGCTGATCGGCTAGAAGGAAAAAAAACTGTTTAAACTCTTGCCACGGGGCTTCAAAGGGCCGCCCTGCAGCTGATCAGTGTTAAAAGGGGGAGAGCGTTCTCTGTGGGAGCGCCGACCCTCTGGAATGGGCTGCCCACCGGCCTTAGGACAGCCCCTGACTTCCTCTCCTTCCGCCACGAATTGAAGACGTGGCTTTTTCATCAAATGGGCTGATCCGCAGGGGTCATTTTAAATAATTTTAATCAATATTTAATTGGATTTTTAATGTTTATGTAATTTTTGTTCCGTTCTTTGTAAGCCGCCCTGAGTCCTTTGGGAGAAGGGCGGCATATAAATTACATACATACATACATACATACATACATACATACATACATACATGAAAGGCAGTGTGGTGGTACACCAGTGCCTGCAAAAATAAATGGCTAGACCAGTGCCTCCAAAAACAAATGAGTAGACCGGTATAGCTCTGCAAGCAGTTAAAAGCCTGGTAGACCAGTACCTCTGCTAAATCCTAAGGAATTGTCACATGACCATCAAGCCACGCCCACAAAATAAGTCACGCCCACAGAACCGGTAGTAAAAAATTTTAGAACCCACCCCTGGTATGCAGGGTGCATTTCTCTCTGAAAGGGGCAGCTGTGATCAAACTACAACCTTCCATACACACAAACCGTTTCATTCACATTGCACCAGAGATGGGATAAAACAATGTTGTTATGTAGTATATGTACAATGGTGGCAAAATAATGGCAGAATGCTCTGTTGTGACCTAGGCCCAAGTAGGTATTATCAGACGCAATCAGTTCAAAAACAAACAGATTTTATTAGAACAGCTGGGAATTAACTCATTCTCAGCGTAGTCCAAAGTAATTCAAAACAAATTCTTCATAACACAATTCTTCAGCCTTATCACCAACCTTAGTCTACTTTGGCAACCTGCCAAAGGCTTTTCTTGGCAAAAGTTCAGAAGCAGAAGACGCCAACAAGAAATAAATGCAGCAAGACAAGAAACAAATCTATCAACGTTTTTCCACAAAGAGCTTGTTGGATTCGGCAAAGACGACACTGAGGCCAGACTGCTGAACAGGTTAACTTTATTGAATGACTTATTAACAAGCAAAACTGAACTCAACGCAACTCCCGCCTGACAGCTGCTTAAATAGCAAGCTGTCAGACAGTCTGACCAATCCGGAACCAGGCAGCTTCCCACTAAATCAGTTGCTGTGCGCCTCCACCAATCCGAGCCCGCTGATGACGGAGCCGGCTCGGGGCGGGCGTACCCGTGAGGACTCAACACCCGAGTCATCCTTTTTGCTTTAGCTGCTCTTGCCTTCTGGCAGCTCTTCTCATGCACGCACTAGGAACAGGCTCCTCCTGTTCCTCTGCCTCTCTGCTGTCAGCCTCTGGAGGCTCCGGAGTCCGCACATCATTCCCAGAGGGCCCTGGCCCCATCTCTGCCTCCGACACAGAGCCCTCATCCGGGCTTTCCCCAGCCTCCAGGACTGGCCATGTTCTTCCTCAGCCTCCTCACTGTCCAACTCCGTTGCCAGCTCCGCAGGCTGCTGGCGGACCACAACATGCTCGTACACTGTTCCTTTGGGCTCCAATGACTCTGGGGGAGCCATAGAACATAGAATAATAGAGTTGGAAGGGACCTTGGAGGTCATCTAGTCCAACCCCCTGCTCGAGCAGGAGGCACAACTCTGGTGGGTCCTCGTCCTGTAGGAACAGCTGCACACAGAGATGGGGGCACTTGGTTTTAGTTTAAGCTGAGTCACAGCAAAGCAAGAACACCACAAGGCACCTGAAGGCCAGACAAGGAATAATGGATGGAAACTGATCAAGGAGAGATTCAACCTAGAAATGAGACTTTTTTCTGACCGTGGGAACAATCAACCCATGGAACAGAAGTTGCCTTCAGAAGTTGTGGGAGCTTCATCACTGGAGGCTTTCAAGAAGAGACTGGACTGCCATCTGTCAGAAATGGTGTAGGGTCTCCTGCTTGGGTGGGGGATTGGATGCCTGCCTGCCTGCCTGCAGATAGTCAGTCAGTCTGTCTGTCTGTCTGTCTGTCTGTCTGTCTGTCTATCTATCTATCTATCTATCTATCTATCTATCTATCTATCTATCTATCGATCGATCTTTCGATCGATCTATCGATCTGCCTACCTACCTACCTACCTACCCATCCATTATCTATCTATCAATCTCTCTCTCTCTCTCCATCCATCCATCCCACCCACCCACCCACCGATCTATCTATCTATCTATCTATCTATCTATCTATCTATCTATCTATCTATCTATCATCTACCCGCTGTCCTCCAAAATAAGGCCCAACCGGAAAATAAGTCCTAGCATGATTTTTCAGAATGCTTGTAATATAAACCCAACCCCCAAAATAAGCCCCAGTTAAGTTTGTTAGGCAGATAGATCCATTTAGTACTTTATTTTCCCCAAAATAAGACCTAACCAGAAAATAAGCCCTAATGCGTCTTTTGGAGCAAAAATTAATATAAGACCCCGTCTTATTTTTGGGGAAACACTGTATCCATCCATCCATCCATCCATCCATCCATCCATCCATCCATCCATCCATCCTATTTATGGGCCATGGGAAGTTAAAGAAATGTAGTGACTTGCAGAGTGAGTGTTCGGTGAAAATAAGGATATTCACACCTGCTCCCCAGTTGCTTGACCATCAAATTAGTGCAAGAAAACCACATGCCATCATCCAGGAGTATTTCTTTAAAATTCCCTTTGTCCCTCCGAAGCAAAATTTGGAATTGAGAGAACGGCAGTAGTTTAAAAAAACAAAACAGGAGAATATCTGTTTCTGGGGTTAGCTAAACATGACAGAGAGCTGGAGGGAGAGTGGAAATGTTTCCATGAATTCATTAGGGAAGCATTATGGAAGCTGCTAATGATTCCATCGGCTTCTAAGCACATATTATCCTGCAGTCTGAAAGTCTGGCCCCCCGTTGAGAAAGTCCCTCCCTGCCTGTAGTTGCTACAACACTTCCTTTCCCAGCATCGAGCTGGCAGCGAGACCACCCTGCAGGACCTGGCTTCCCATCAGCTTTCTTTCATCTGCTAGTTCATTCTCTCCCTTCGCTCCCCTGTCCCTTAATTTTAAAGGGATGCCTTAGACACCTTGCTGTTTCCTCCAAACAACGATGCGTGTGCTAATGAGATTCCGGTTGTTGCTGTAGCATCCTCTGTTTTCCTTCCCCAAAGGTGATGAAGTTGAGGAAGCTAGCCCAGCAGGTAGCCAACTGCCGGCAGTGCCTGGAGCGGTCCACGGTCCTCATCAACCAAGCTGAACACATCTTGAAAGAAAGCGACCATGCACGGTTCCTGCAAACGGCGAAGAATGTGGCAGAAAGGTACCACTCCAAAGATAAAGTGGCGGTGTTGTTTCGCTAAGGTGTTGTTTTGCTAAGAGTTCTGAAGGCCCCCTCCACGGCTACTGTCTTCCCAAGGAACCTGTAACCAGGGGTGGAGTTCAAAAATTTTAGCAAGGGGTTCTCTGCCTGGTTGCATGGTGGGCGTGGCCTACTCGGCTTCCTGCACCACGGTGGGCGAGGCATTTTTGTCCTCCCCAGGCTCCGGAGGTTTTTCTCGAGCCTCCGGGAGGGCGAAAACAGCTTCCCCAGGCTCCAGAAGCCCTTTGGAGGCTGGAAACTTCCCAAACTTCTAGTAGGCCTGTTTTTCACCTTCGTGTGCGCCCTGCACTTATCTGCATCCAAAACGGACCATCTGTGGGGACTCCTGGGAGGGGTGGGGTGGGTGGGGCCAGCCAGGAGTGAGATTTGGGGGTTCTCCAAACTGCACAGAATCTTAGCTAGAGGTTCTCCCGAACCCCTGCGAACCCCCAGCAGCCCACCCCTGCCCATATCCCAGGTTTTGTAAGTTTCTGAATGTGTATGGAGATTTTCAGTCATCCAGGTTGTCCCAAAGGTGCTTTTTTTCAAGAGGCAACTGGACTTTCTGGTTTTTTCTTTGAAGATGTTTCGCTTCTCATCCGAGAAGCTTCTTCCGCTCTGACTTGGATGGTGGGGATTGGAAGGATTTATACTCCTTGCAGACAGTGGTCATTTGCATTCTTTTAGAGAATCATTGAGGCCACTTGGAGGTTTGTCTGTGTCCTCAGGGTCACCTGAGTAGTACAAATAGGTGTGGCACCTTCTTGGAACTGCTGAAAGAACTGTGTTGTAGAGTGGAGATAGATGATGTTGAATCCCACCCACCCCCTCTGTTGAGAGAGGGCAGAGAGGACCACTGGTTTGGAAAAGGGGTCAAAAAGGCCATCTATGTCAAAGTGGCTAAGACACTGAGCTTGTCGATCAAAAGGTCAGCAGTTCAGCGGTTCAAATCCCTAGTGCCGCGCGACGGGGTGAGCTCCCGTTACTTGTCCCAGCTTCTGCCAACCTAGCAGTTCGAAAGCATGTAAAAAATGCAAGTAGAAAAATAGGGACCACCTTTGGTGGGAAGGTAACAGTGTTCCGTGCACCTTTAGCATTGAGTCATGCCGGCCACATGACCACAGAGACATCTTCAGACAGCGCTGGCTCTTCAGCTTTGAAATGGAGATGAGCACGGCCGCCTAGAGTCAGGAACGACTAGCACATATGTGCGAGGGGAACCTTTACCTTCTATCTCTAATCTACAACACAGTCCTTTCCACAGTTCCTAGAAGGCTCCACACCCATTTGCACCATTCAGGTGACCCTGAGGACACAGATAAACCTCCAGGTGGCCTCAATGACTCTCTAAAAATATACAAATGACCAGCTGTCTGCAAGGAGTACAAATCCTTCCATTCCCCACCATCCAAGTCAGAGCTGAAGAAGCTTCTCGGATGAGAAGGGAAACGTCTTCAAAAGAAAAAAACCAGAAAGTCCAGTTGACTCTTGAAAAAAAGCACCTTTGGGATTATAAATTCCGGAATATTCCTTGAGTAGCATCGCAACGAAGGCCGTACAAGGAAGCTGACTTGTCGTTATATTTGACAACAAGGCTCAGAGATGGTCTGCTGCAAGACGAAAAGCTCTTAATCTCGTGGAACTCCTTGCCTCCTCCAAGTACGGCTCAAAAGCTTGAAAGAGGTTTTTCCATCTACAAGAGAAATCAGCAGGCTGCTCAGCCTGTTCAGAAGTCCGTGCAAAGCTTTGGATTCTATTTCAAACAACACAGAGATGGGTTTTGGGGTTTTTTTTTTCCCCCTGGATGTCCACAAAAAATTTCAGTTGCATCCTGCAGATTCTAGAGAAAGGACAGATCCCAGACACTGAACCCCGTGTGATGGAAAGCATCCATAGTATGAATCCCACTACTCGTTCATCGTCCTCACGTGACTCATTCACATGAAGTGAAAAGTTGGAGAGAGGAGTTTGCAGAGCAATTGTCGATTTAGCTGCTCTTGCCTTCTGGCAGCTCTTCGCATGCATGCACTAGGAACAGGCTCCTCCTGTTCCTCTGCCTCTCTGCTGTCAGCCTCTGGAGGCTCCGGAGTCTGCACATCACTCCCAGATGGCCCTGGCCCCATCTCCGCCTCCGACGCAGAGTCCTCATCTGGGCCTTCCCCTGACTCCAGGACTGGCCCATTGTCCTCCCCAGCCTCCTCACTGTCCGACTCCGTTGCCAGCTCCGCAGGCTGACCGCAACAACCGCCTCCTCTTTGTGGCAACCCCTCAAATACTGGAATATTCCTATCATGTCACCACTAGTCTTTCTTTTCTCTAAAGTAGCCTAGAGAAATCTGGAGAAATCTTCCCAAACAAAACATGTTCCCCCTTTGGAGTTGCTTTGAATGGATCTCACTCCATCTCCCAAGCATGTTCATTTTCGAAACAACCCAGCATTAAAGCAACGCACAGCCATTATGCAACGTCATTACATAAAGAAGATTGACATTAGAGGCCAGGGACGCTGGCCTTTTATAGACCGATACATAACTTAATAATTAATTCACTTGTACGTGGTTAATATATTCCAACCCTCCTTTTCAGGCTAGTAAGTCTTGCTGAGATGAATGATCTGTCTCTGCTGATTAGTAATATTGTCGCTGTTTTTTGATGTTTTTAACTTCCACTTCTGCTGTACATTTCTTGGAGCCATTTTGGAGCTGAGCTGCATGGAAATAACAGTAATAAGTAAATAATAAATGAAGGAATGAAATAATGAACTGGGTTAGGTAGGTGGCTCCGAACGCCCCCTTTTCCAGCTTCCAGAATTTTTATCCTGCCGAAACCACAGAGGTCTCGCCTTCCAAATTTAGGAATCGTCCCTCTCTCTCTTGCTCTCCCCTTCCCCAGCCGCCCCCCCCGAACCCCTCCCCTTTGCTACAAGAGTTTTACAACATGGCAAGGCTGTTTCCAGCTCTTTCATCAAAAAAAATCAAAGCTCCGCCTGGGAGTGACAAGCAGCACCTAATGGTTAGCGATGCTCTCTTTTTTTCTCTCTGTCTTTCAGGGTTGCCATGGCAACTGCATCCTCTCAAGTTTTGATACCCGATATCAATTTTAACGATGCCTTTGAAAACTTTGCTTTAGATTTTTCCAGAGAGAAGAAATTGCTGGAGGGGCTGGATTATCTAACAGGTTTGTGCCGATTTTGCAGTCTTAAAGGTCTTCTGTGAGTTCCTTTCCTTGCCTTCTTGCTCTGTTTTTTTTTTTGTTTCTTTGTTTTTCTTTTTTTTCCCCAGCGCTCTGGACTTTTGTGGATAAGTAGAGGGGATGCAATTTGCTTTTGTTCCATTTGTGTCTTGTAATCTCAAGAGTAAAACCGACTTGATATGTGAAGGGGAATTTATTTCTGTCAGCCCCGGTGCAAAAGAGAACAGGAATTGCCACGTAGGACACCAGATAGTATTGTCCAGCTGCAAAGTTCACACCAGTAGGGTGTAAATAAATGTACTGCTAGTCCTCATTTAACAACGGAAATTGGGACTGGAATTTCCATTGCTAAACAAATGCGCTTGTAAGTGGGAATGTCCTATTTATTTATTTATTTATTAATCAAATATGACAGTGATGGCTAACCTTTTTTTCCTCAGGTGTCAAAAGTGTGCACGCGAGCGCTATTGCGCGCACGTGCCCACACCCATAATGCAATGCCCCTCCCGCATATGTGTGCGACCCCCCCACACACATGCACACGTGACCCCCGCATGCGACCCCGCTCTCTCCCCCGCGCATGTGCACGCACCCCCCCCTTTTCGCCTCACATCCCAAAACAACGCTGGGGGCTTCATTCTCAGCTTAATCCAGACTAAGTTCAAAACAGATCTTTCGTAAACAGTCCTTTGGTTTTATCACCAACCTTTGTCTTCTTTGGCACCCTGCCAAAGACTTTTCTTGGCAAAAGTTTAGAAGCAAGAGACACTGACATGGAACAAATGTAGCAGCAGAAGAGACAAATGTAGCAACATTGCTTTCCTACAAAGAGCCCAAGAGCTGTTGCTGCTCTTTTAAGCCTTCTGGGAGGGGCCAATCATCTCCTGGCCTTACTCCTGAGTCGTCCTTTTTGCTTTAGCTGCTCTTGCCTTCTGGCAGCTCTTCGCATGCGTGCACTAGGAACAGTCTCCTCCTATTCCTCTGCCTCTCTGCTATCACCTCTGGAGGCTCCGGAGTTCACGCACCACTCCCAGATGGCCCTGGCCCCAACTCTGCCTCCAACACAGAGCCCTCATTCGTGCCTTCCCCTGACTCCAGGACTGGCCCATTGTCCTCCCCAGCCTCCTCACTGTCCGACTCCTCTGCTACCTCCGCAGGCTGCTGGTGGACCACAACAAGCAGTTCGAAAGCATGCACATGCAAGTAAATAAATAGGTACCACTTCGGTGGGAAGGTAACAGTGTTCAGTGCACCTTGGCATATAGTCATGCTGGCTACATGACCATGGAAGTGACTTTGGATAATGCTGGGTCCCTTGGCTAAGAATCAGAGATAAGCACAGCTCCCTAGAGTTGGACACGACGGGATAAGGAAACCTTTACCTTTATAGAACAAAGATGGATGGTTTTTCATGGGGAGGACAGAAAGCTGCTCACCTCTTGTCTGCTATTGCTTCTACAGCACCCAACCCACCCTCTGTCCGTGAAGAACTTTGCACCGCCTCCCATGACACCATCACTGTCCACTGGATCTCAGATGATGAGTTCAGCGTCGGATCCTATGAGCTCCAGTATACCATCTTCACAGGCCAGGCCAACTTTATCAGTAAGTCACTGTTGGGCTAGGTTCTTTCTTCAGCTTCTACTGGTACCGGGATTGAGGTAGGCTTCTACTCAACCATGCCCATTGCTCAGCGGTAGTATTCACTTACCTTCGCTATCAGTTCGCAAATGTGAGCACGTGAACGGGCCTTCCGCACATGCACAGAGTGTCAAAAATGTGGATAAATGGGTGGTGACGTGAAAACGTGATGACATCTGGGTGGGTGGGCAGAGCCTCCTGCAGCCGCCACTACCAATTTGCCTGAACCGGATAGAACTGGCTGAATACCACCACTGCCATTGCTGGAGCAGCCGCTAATTTGAATGTGTAGCAATAGCAATCATCTTTTTTTAACGACCCCATAATCCCTTGTGGTGTGGAGTCTGAGAATGGAGCTAGCAGAGTATTTAATGGCCGGATGCCCTTCCTGTTGTCAGTGCGGAGTTTTGTTCTGCAGATATATTTTCATTGTGCCCAGAGAGAAAAATATCTGTCTCTACCTAGGATTGAACTCAATAAGACTTATATATCGCCTCATAGCGCTTTACAGCCCTCTCTAAGCTGTTTATAGATTTAGCGTATTGCCCCAACAATCTGGGTCCTCATTTTACTGACTTCAGAAGGATGGAAGGCTGAGTCAACCTTGAGCCAGTCAGGATCGAACTGCTGACAGTCGGCAGAGTTAGACTGCGATATTGCATTCTAATCACTGTGCCACCAAGGCTCTCTGGAATGCCCTTGAGACATGGCTTGCAACTTCAGATTCATCTTCTCTGTGTCCTGACCAATTAGTTGGAGAGGAAGGAATTGAGATGGCCCCAAATATTTGCTTATCTGAAGGAAGGATCTCCAGGGGGAAAAAAATGTATGTACTTTCTCATGCATGTGCTTCAAATTCACTAAGGTATTTGGACGCTGCTGGAAATTGCTGTATGTAGAAAGTGTGTATTTGTGTCATGGGATGGGGGATTTTTCCTGTACTATCCTCAGCTGAACATATCTGTAAGCAACGCGGCACTAATTCTGGGGGGCGCATTAAAATCTTGGGATTGGATCAGGGGTGAAATGCTACCCATTTTGGACCGGTTTGGGAGAACAGGTAGTAAAAAATGCTACCAGTTCGGGCGAACTGGTAGTAAAAAAAATGCTACCATTTCGGGCAAACCGGTATTTCCGACGATCAGCTGTGCCGCGCGATTTAGCTAATCTAAATTGCGCGGCACAGCTATTTCCCCCACCCGCTGTTCTATTTACCTTTGCAGACTCAGAAAAGGTTTATTAATCCTCCTTTTTCAGAGCTGCTTGGTAGCGTCTGCGGTATGCATGCACACAAAGCACATGTTTGGTGTGCACCGTGCATGCACGCAGGAACCGAACTGGTAGTGAAGCGAATCAGTAGCAAACAATTTCACCCCTGGATTGGATGTGCTTAGAAGCTCTACCCTACCTGCTTCTGTCCAACTCCAAACTAGATTGAGAATCCCCCACCCCCACCCCGTTTTCCATCAACTCATTAAAAAAAAGTGTTTAGATCAGGGGTGTCCAACCTTGGAAACTTGTTAAACTCAATGGACTTCACGCTGACTGGGGACTTCTGAGAGTTGAAGTCCTTAAAGTTCTCAAGGTCAGACACCCCTGATTTAGATGGTGGGTGATGGAGGCATCACTTGAATACGTCACTCATTCCTTGGAGATGCAAGACTTCGAAGTCTTGCTGGCCTTTGGACCAGTGGTGGGTTTCAAAATTTTTTACTACCAGTTCTGTGGGCGTGGCTTGGTGGGCGTGGCTTGGTGGGTGTGGCAGGGGAAGGATACTGTAAAATCTCCGTTCCCTCCCCACTCCAGAGGAAGAATACTGCAAAATCTCCATTCCCACCCCACTCTGGGGCCAACCAGAGGTGGTATTTGCCGGTTCTCCAAACTACCCAAAATTTCCACTACTGGTTCTCCAGAACTGGTCAGAACTTTCTGAAACCCACCTCTGCTTTGGACCTGCCCAAACTCCAAGCTTAGAGAAGATAGGTAGCTGTACCAGCCTGTCTCATCAAAAGTTATTTAGTGGTTGGGTGATTTGTGGGGTGTACTGGAGCATGAATCCATCAAGGATCTTGGCCTTCACAGTTGTCCAAGCAAGAATTATCCCTGTCTCCTGAGTGCATGGTAGAGAAACTTGATTCTCTCTCGCTCTCCCAGGCAGCGGTGTAACTAATCTCTTCATCAAGCTTTCTCTGATAATCCACTGAACTCTTTCAAGGTTCTCTGAGGGAAATTTATGGATGCTTTTCTAAGAGATTTATTGGATTATTGTCCTACATAACTATTTGGCTTTTATAAAAAAATCTTACGACTTACTCAGAGCTGGGATTCACTTACTTTCCCTACTGGTTCGCAGATATGAGCGCACGCACACTCGGCCTTCCCCACATGCTTCCACGCATCCTCGGCCTTCCAACGCATGCTTGTTGCTTGCGCGAGCGCCTTCCAAAAAGGGGCTAAATAGGATGTCATTACCTCTGGGCAGGTGGGCGGAGTCTGCTGCAGTCAGCGCTACTGGTTTGCCCGAACCGTACAGAACTGGCTGAATCTCACCACTGGATTTAGTACAACGTTGTATGAGGCGTAGGAGCAAATCTGGCTTGCTAGACCATAGATGCAGAGTTGAACCCATGGTGAGGCAGATGTCAGAAGTAGCCACTTGCTCCGTGGCTACTGGATGTGCTTCAAATCAATTGCTAGCTGAAACCTATAGCTCGGGGGTGTCAAACTCAAGGCCCATGGGCCGGATCTGGCCTGTGGGGTGTTTACATCTGGCCCACAGGGTCACCTTGGAAAAAGTGAAGGATCGGCCCGCAGTGCCTCTGCCAGTGAAAACGGAGCTCGGGAGGGCCGCACATACTGGCAGAGGGCTCCAGGAGGCCGTCGTGGCCGAAAAGGGAGCCTTGATGACTGACATGGAGCTGGCCACACTCACCCTGGTCACACGGTCTCCCGGCCCCCTGAGGTCAAGCACAACCCTGATGTGGCCCTCAATGAAATCGAGTTTCTCCTGCTATACCTCAATCTATAGCTAGAGACTCTGACCATTCTATTCCATTCCATTGACTTCTCAACTCAGCCTGAACCTTCAGGGTGACCTTTAGCAAGATCAGAAATAGTACGATACAATCACAGTCCAGGGAAGGAGAAGGAATCGATTGCAAGCTCAGTACTCTGGGGCCAACCCTTCAGAGTAGCTTGCCGGTTTCTAGCGGCTCGGATAGCTCACCTGGAAGACAACTCATCAGAAAGATAATAGAGGTAAGCTGCAGGTTGTGGCAGCTACTGCTTAACTAGATGTGAGAGCAAGGGGGGGGGAAGGGAAGCTGGCTTCCCACAACAGTTGTTGTTTGTAAGTAATGAGGCATGGCTGTGAAACCCCAACTTCAAACTCTTATCATTCGGCATCTCTTATCCCCCGCTTGTATCGACTTTAAATCCTCCTCATTCAAGCAACAAAGGCCTCCGTGATTTCATGCGCTGGCTAAAAGCCGACTCGGATAATCACAGGGTAATTTATTTGTGTTACATTGGAATGCATCGTAGAGCCCTGTTAGAGAGCAAAGACACTCTTAAGATGGCTTGAAGTAGAAGAAGAAGGAGTGGCAGAATCAGGGGTGGAGCTGCTGGGGGTTCGCAGGGGTTCGGGAGAACCTCTAGCTAAGATTCTGTGCAGTTCAGAGAACCCCCAAATCCCACTCCTGGCTGGCCCCTCCCCGCCCACCCCTCCCCTCCCCTCCCAGAACTCCCCATGCAGCCTATTTTGGATGCAGGTAAGTGAAGGGCGTGTGTGGAGGCTCGGGGAGGGCGAAAAACCCGTCTACCAGAAGTTTAAGACCATGGCAGGGGAGGGTGTTTTTGCCCTCCCTGGGCTTTGGAGGCCTTCCCTAAGCTTCTGGGAGGCCATTTTCGCCTTCCTGGAGGCTCGAGGAAAGCCTCCGGAGCCCGGGGAAGGCAAAAACGCCCCTCCCCGCCGTGGTGCAGGAGGCCAAGAACTCCTTGCTAAAATTTTTAAAGCCCACCCTTAGGCAGAACCTGGGGGATGGAGTTAAAAGAGGGATTAACCTAGAATCCCTACATAACCAGGACAAGTGGGCTAAATTTAACCCTCTCTCCCCCTGAATTCAGTTTTGGCCCTTATTTAACTGTTTTAACTGCCTTTATTCTTTTTTATGTTGGGGTTTTTAAAAAACTTTTTGTAAGTTGCCCAGAGTCACCGAGGGTGAGCGGGCGGCCGTATAAATCCTACAAACAGATAAATAAAACTTCAAGCAGGTGCTGACTTTTGGTTCAAAAGATTCCCGAGTGTAAGCATTTTAGCAGTAGTTCTGTTTAATTGGACCTTCACATGTCTTTGGTGCCTGTCACTTCCCCACCCTGTTTGTGGCAGAGACTGGGAAAGCATTCTAGCTTTGCCTTGACCTGCTAGCTTTCCTTTGTGATTTAACGTAAAGGATTCAGATGACCTCCCTTTCCTGAATTCCGAAATGGCACTTTCTTGAGAAATCTCACCTTTTATGATGGGTGTTGTGTTTATTTTTTATTATTTATTTTACTTATTAATTTGTCAAACATGTACAAGATAGCAGGTATAAATATGAACATGGACATGAACGAAGGAAATGGATACAAATAAATGGGGACAGTAGGACAGGGATGGTAGGCACGCTGGTGCGCTTATGCACGCCCCCTTTACAGAGCTCTTAGGAATGGGGTGAGGTCCACGGTAGACAGTTTGAGGTTGAAGCTGTGGGGGTTCGAGGATGTAACCACGGAGTCAGTAGAGCATTCCAGGCATTGACCACTCTGTTGCTGAAGTCGTATTTTCCACAATCGAGTTTGGAGCGGTTTACCTTGAGTTTTTATCGATTGTTTGCCAGTGTATTATTGAGGTTGAAGCTGAAGAAGTTGTTGACGGGTAAGACGTTGTAACAGACAATTTTGTGCACTATGCTTAGATCGGACCA